GGCCTTGAACACTTGCAGGGATGGGGCATCCACAACTTCTCTGGGCAACCTGTTCAGTGCCTCGCCAACCACAGAGTGAAAAATTCTTCCTAAAATCTATTTAAACCTGCCCTCTTCCAGTTTGAAGCCATTCCCCCTCATCCTATCACTACATGCCCTTGTAAAAAGTCCCTCTCTGGCTTTCTTGTAGGTGCCCTTCAGATACTGGAAGGCTGCTATAAGGTCTCCCTAGAGCCTTCTCTTCTCCAGGCTGAACAACCCCAACTCTCTCAGCCTCTCCTCACAGGAGAGGTGCTCCAGCCCTCTGATCATCTTCGTGGATCTCCTCTGAACCCGCTCCAACAGGTCCATGTCCTTCCTATGTTGGGGGCTCCAGACCTGGACACAATACTCCAGGTGGGGTCTCACAAGAGCAGAGTAGAGAGGCAGAATCAGCTCCCTTGACCTGTTGGCCATGCTTCTTTAGATACAGCCCAGGATACAGTTGGCCTTCTGGGCTGTGAGCGCACATTGTCAGCTCATGTTGAACTTCTCATCCACCAATAATACAGGGATCCATATTACATACATGCAGCTCTGTGTGTGTTTGTTTTCCCACTAATGGGTTTTCATCCTGCTCAGCCAGAGAGCAAAGAAGGATAAGGCCATCTGTACTGTCCATAGAGCTACCAGGTTCAGCTACTCTGAACATACCACAGAGCTTTTTAAGAAAGAGACTTTATTTCTAATTACACAATCACTTGTGAAATCAGACTCCAAAGTCAGGAGCAACTCTGGAAAACTCAGCTTGCTTAAACTCCAAGATACACAAATTGTAACTGCCGCTTTGAATATTTCTACTTCATTGATCTAGAAGGAAATATTCCTTGGGAGAAATCTTAAAGATTTGCCATATCAGTTAAAAGATGACGGCAACAATACGCTTCACAAGTCTCTGGGTCAAATCCCAGACCAGAAGAAGAACAAACACTTAGAGAATGCCAGCACAGATGTTAGAAAAAAACCAGCATAGCAACCTGGGAAATCTTTCTATGTATACTTCACAGAATCTTCAAAGTTGGAAGGGACCTCCAGAGATCATCTAGTCCAACTCCCCTGCTAAAGCAGGATTGCCTAGAGCACATTACTCAGGACTGCATCCAGGCGGGTTTTGAAAATCTCCAGAGAAGGGGACTCCACAACCTCCCTGGGCAGCCTGTGCCAGTGCTCTGTCCCCCGAACTGTAAAGAAGTTTTTGTATGAACTTATGCACTTGTTTGCTTCTTTTAATGTATTTTTAATGCAATGTTCACAATAAAATACTTGTGATATTTGTTATCTTCTGTACTGTCTTTTTAGCTTAATCTTGGCTCAAATTTGGACACAGGCAAAGCAGTAACAATGTATATTGCTAACTCTGACCGTCCTCCATTCGTAGGAAGGCACCCCAGTTCGGTGAGACAGCAGACACCAAGAACCATAGGCTAACTCCAGCAAGCTGCCAGCAGAGCAAGAGCAACTAACTCTTATCAACCCTATCAGACTGAAAAAACATACTCAAGAAGTGAAATTTAGAAGGAGCAAATGGCTAAACTGGAAAGATAAGGCAACCGGATGAAAGAATTTCGTAAAGTATTTCAAATTTTGAAAGCATGTCATATTTTGTCACTTTTCTCATGCTATAGGAGGTGATTAGCAATTGTTTCTAAAAAGTGTGGTTTTTTAAAAAAAACTGTGTTTAGCTATTTGGTATCTCTAAGGAAGTAACTCTATGTTGCAGTACTATCAGAGCAGATAAATGCGCTTAACTGCAACAAGGCAGTGAGCTCTGATGCCAAGATCCCTACACAGAGGAGTCATGAAGGCTCAGCCTAGGAAAGTGCCCATTTCCACTTTGCCCGGACAAAAAGTGAACTCTGGAGCCCACTTCCCTCAAATACAGGTCACAAGACAACAATCTTGTTCAGCTTCGGGTATTACACGTGGGTTATAGACCTGCAGACACACAGCTTCCAAGGGGACTGTAGCCACTTTGGATCTGCCATGGGACACCCTGGGACTGGAAATATGGAAGAAGATAAACCCATCAGGTGCTGGTTCACCTTAGACTTTCTGCTGTATGCTTCTTACTCTCTCTAGGTGAAATAAGCTGAATAACTAGAGACAAACTGGTTGCTGATATAGAAAAAACTGCAAAAGCTGCCACCACAAAGTCCTTGCACATCAGTAAGTTAGGAAAGAGGCATTAGGACTTGAATATGCAGCTAGCACCAGCATCATCATCACTGTCACCTATGGCACTTCTGCATTGTCTCCTCAGTTAAAACACTCCAGCAGAGCCTGGTTGTCCTATACATGAAGGAAGAATGACTCCATGCTTCAAAGCATGGGAAAGGTGTGCAAAAAGAAAAAAAAAAAAAAAAGAATCCAAAACAAAGAACCTTACAACCAGTTTCATAATGATGATTCTGCTTTGGTTTCAGTGCAAAGTTTACATTTAGCTTCCTCATTCCTGTTGTTCACACTGAGAATGTGTGCCAACTGCTTTATCTGCCTAACTCTGTACAGCCTTCCCCCTTGTGTGCAACAGGCAGCTGAATTCCCTGGAGCCTCCGACAAGCATTTCTCGTGTAGACTGCAAAAGCAAAGCAGCTATCTTTAAGCAGATTCCATGACTGTTTGCAAAGACAAAAAAAAAAACTACTACCACACCCCAAGGATTTCTTCCTTCTTAGTTCAGCAGTCTTGAAAATAATGAATAAAAAAAAATAATTAAACAACTGAAAATGCTGAAAGAGTTCTGGTGGAAAGAAACAGTCCACTACAAGCATCACTGCAAGGCAGGGCTCCCCTGAAGAGCAGACACTTCTGAGTTGGATCTGGTCTGCCTTTACTTGTCATGGGAATGCAGAGAAACGACTGACTTGGAAAGGGCAGAGAAGAGTTTTAGCTTTTGAAGGCTACATTAAAAACCATGAGAGTAAAACGGTTCATTTACTAAAGTAGCAACACTGAGATGCAGACAGCATGGACTACTTAACACCCTGTAATCATGTAAGTGGTCTCTTTTCCACTAGAGATTTTCCTAAAATTATAAAAACTTAAGTAAAATTTTCACCATTTTAGGTTATGCACAGAAGTGCCTTAATTAAGTATAAATTACTCCTGATTTCTAAATAGAGCTTTGTTTTTAAAGCATCCAAAGTAGCACCTATCTACACTTGGCTAAGGAGTATCTCACAGGCACTTCGGGCCAGCTAAAATGCAGTTGTAGGTCACGTACATTTGGTCTCGAGCGCTGTTTTTGATGCATTTTTGTCACCAAAACAGCGAGTGCTCTCTCGATGAGCGATACCACAATTAAGGCAGAGCGGTCTCTTAGATCTTTTTAAGATCACTTTTTAGGTAACAATTTTAATCGAAGTAAAGGGGGAAGGGGAGATACAGATAACGCACAAAACCATAAGGCGACGGGGGAAGCTTCTGTCGGCGGGGGTCGCCGGGGCTGTCTCTCCGCAGACTGTCCCTGCTCCCCGGGACAGCGGCTATGCCCCCCGTTAGCTGCGGGGTGACCCGAGCTGGGGGGGTGACACGGGACCCCGGCTACTCCTTCACCCGGGACAGCGCAACAGACCGCAGCTGTAGGCGCTCACCCTAAATACTCATTTTATTTCCCGCCCTCCCCCCGGTACTTTCCGCCCGGTACTTACGGCCTCCTCGGCTCTTCGGGTCCCCCTGGATCCCGTGGCCCTGGAGGCG